TGAGGAGTATGAAGAGGACGGTGAGAGGATGAGGAAAATGAACAGGACAATGAGAGGATGAGTAGAGTAAAGGGGATGGTGAGAGGATGAGGAAAGTGTAAAAGAGGATGAGGAGATGAAGAGAGTGAAAAGGATGATGAGAGGACGATAAGAGGGTGAGGAGAGTCAAGAGGACAATGAGAGGATGAGGAGAGCGAAGAAGACGATGAGAGGATGAGGAGAGTGAAGAAGACGATGAGAGGATGAGGAGAGTGAAGAAGACGGTGAGAGGATGAGAAGAGTGAAGGGGACGATGAGAGGATGAGGAAAACAAACAGGACAATGACAGGATAAGTAGAGTAAAGGGGATGATGAGAGGATGATGAGTATGAGGAGAGTGAAGAGGACGGTGAGAGGATGAGGAGAGGGAAAATGGATGATGAGAGGATGAGGAGAGTGAAAAAGACAATGAGGAATGAGTAGAGTGAAAGGGACGATGGAAGGATGAGGAAAGTGTATAAAAGACAATGAGAGTATGAGGAGAGTGAAGGGGACGATGATAGGATGAGGAAGAGGATGATGAGATGATGAGAAGAGTGAAAAGGACAATGAGAGGATGAGGAGTGTGAAGGGGACGGTGAGAGGATGAGGAGAGTAAAAGCGATGATGGGAGGATGAGGAAAGTGTAAAAGACGATGAGAGGATGAGGAGAGTGAAGGGGATGATGAGAGGATGAGGTGAGTGAAGAAGACAATGAGAGGATGAGGAGAATAAAGAGTACGATGAGAGGATGAGGAGTGTGAAGAAGACAATGAGAGGATGAGGAGAATAAAGAGTACGATGAGAGGATGAGGAGTGTGAAGAGGACGATGAGAGGATGAGGAGAGTGGAAAGGACAATGAGTGGACAACGACAGTGAAGAGGAAGATGAGGAGAGCGAAGGGGAGGATGAGAGGATGAGGAGAGCGAAGAGAACGATGAGAGGATGAGGAGAGCGAAGGGGATGATGACAGAATGAGGAAACTGTAAAAGAGGATGAGGAAAGTAAAGAGGACAATGAGTGGACAACGAGAGTGAAGAGGAAGATGATGAGAGCGAAGGGGAGGATGAGAGTTTGAGGAGAGCGAAGGGGAAGATGAGAGGATGAGGAAAGTGTAAAAGAGGATGAGGAGAGTAAAGAGGACAATGAGTGGGTGACGAGAGTGAAGAGGAGGATGAGTAGAGTGAAGGGGACGATAAGAGGATGAGAAGAGTGAAAAGGATGATGAGAGGATGAGGAAAGTGAAGGGGACGATGAAAGGATGAGTAGAGTAAAGGGGGTGGTGAGAGGATGAGGAGAGTGAAAAGGATGATGTGAGGATGAGGAGAATGGAGGATCACGACGAGAGGATGAGGAGAGTGAATGGATGATTAGAGGATAGGGAGAGTAAAGGGGACGATTAGAGGATGAGGAGAGTGAATTGAATGATGAAAGGATGAGGAAAGGGAAAAGAATGATGAGAGGAGGAGCAGAGTGCAGGGGACGATGAGAGGATGAGGAGAGTGAAGAGGATGGGAGTGAAGAGGACGATGAGAGGATGAAGAGAGTGAAAGGACGATGAGAGGATGAGGAGAGTGAAGAGGACGATGAGAGGATGAAGAGAGTGAAAGGACGATGAGAGGATGAGGAGGGTGAGGTGACAAAGACTGAGGAGCTTTGTACAAGTGATCCAAAAAAAAATCTGAATTTCCTTTGTCCCATCTGTATATACCATGTCACTTTTTGTCATCTCAAAAAAACACACGGGGATAAAAATGACGAGGTGTTGGCGTGTGTTTCTCTACTACGCACTGTCAGTATAATCTGTTTTTTAGTTTTGCCTTCGAGCATCAACAACCCTAACCCTTAAGCTAATATTTTGATATTTACCGTCAACATTTCTGGCACTCTGGAAGGATTATCCCTCTTTTTAAATCTCCCGAAAAGGTAACTTGGATCTTGCCGAGCGAACTTGCTGTGCTAAAAGGAACAATTAAGAGCTAAAATAGTTTTTCTTTGGCACGTCGCCGTCTCGTCTCCCCTGCGACCTATACAAAAGCGTTCAGCCATGTTGTCTTTCATCATTAACTCTCTCTCAAAGGCCCCTGGGAGCCGGTGGAAGCGTGCACTTTTGTAACATCAAGCGTTACAACTGTCTGCTGCTTACAGTCAGGGCTGCAGGCTTCTTTAAAAGGCCCATATTACACGATTTTCTCAACTACTGTATGTTATAATGTCTCCTCATCACAATCATGCCTGGTGTTGTGTGTTTTGTTTCATTCACACATGTTTAACGCACAAACCCTGAGCTGTTCCACCTTGTGATGTCATGTGGTAATACAGGAAGCACTCCACTGTGTTTTTAAATTCCATACACCTTCACTAGAATAATTGGGATCATTTCTACTCGGAAACTGCTCATCTCTGCTGAACTAAAAGCGGTGTTGTCGTCAAGACCGAGATTGAGACCAAGGCCAAGTCCAAGACCAGGACCACTGAGGGTCGAGATCGAGACAAGACCAAGAGTTTTAAAGGTTGAGATCGAGACAAGACCAAGAGTTTTGAGATCGAGACAAGACCAAGAGTTTTAAGGTTGAGATCGAGACAAGACCAAGAGTTTTGAGATCGAGACAAGACCAAGAGTTTTAAAGTTGAGATCGAGACCAGACCAAGAGTTTTAAGGTTGAGATCGAGACAAGACCAAGAGTTTTAAAGGTTGAGATCGAGACAAGACCAAGAGTTTTAAAGGTTGAGATCGAGACAAGACCAAGAGTTTTAAAGATCGAGATCGAGACAAGACCAAGAGTTTTAAAGGTTGAGATCGAGACAAGACCAAGAGTTTTAAGGTTGAGATCGAGACAAGACCGAGAGTTTTAAAGGTTGAGATCGAGACAAGACCGAGAGTTTTAAAGATCGAGATCAAGACAAGACCAAGAGTTTTAAGGTTGAGATCGAGACAAGCCCGAGAGTTTTAAGGTCCAGATCGAGACAAGACCGAGAGTTTTAAGGTCGAGATCGAGACAAGACCGTGAGTTTTTAAGGTTGAGATCGAGACAAGTCTGAGAGTTTTAAGGTCCAGATTGAGACAAGACCGAGAGTTTTAAGGTCGAGATTGAGACAAGACCGAGAGTTTTAAGGTTGAGATCGAGACAAGACCGAGAGTTTTAAAGGTTGAGATCGAGACAAGACCGAGAGTTTTAAGGTCGAGATCGAGACAAGACCGAGAGTTTTAAGGTCGAGATCGAGACAAGACCGAGAGTTTTAAGGTCGAGATCGAGACAAGACCAAGAGTTTTAAGGTCGAGATCGAGAGACAAGACCGAGAAGTTTTAAAGAGTGAGATCGAGACAAGACCGAGAGTTTTAAGGTGAGATCGAGACAAGACCGAGAGTTTTAAGGTTGAGATCGAGACAAGACCAAAAGTTTTAAGGTCGAGATCGAGACAAAACCGAGACCACAGCCCATCGAGACCAAATCAAGACCATCTTTTTAAATTTTTGGCATTTATTTGTATTTTACAATTATTTGGCACATATATATCAATGTTTTTATAAATCTGTCTCCATTTTATAACTTGTCGAGAGTCAGACCTCGAGACCAAGACAAGAACGAGTCCAAATGCAGTCGAGTCCAGGACAAAACCAAGACCGCAAAAGACTGTCTTAAGGCTTTTCTCGAGACCAAGACCAGTCTTGAGTACTATGACACTAACTAAAAGGTAGCTGTAAACCTGAAAACTACCACATCACAGCATTTTGAGCCAGACTAAAGATAAATGATTACTCAAACACGTGTGAAACAAAACATAAGTCCAGGTCTGTTTTTGATGAGGTAACAACGTTCTAACATGGCTTAAAGCTCACAAGAGTACATTTTGCATAATATAGGACCTTTATTGTGCCTATGATGGTTACTCTACTCATTTTACTAAAACACACCATAATTATATTTAAGATTTTGCTGAAATGCCTGCGCTCTGTACCTGAGCCTTAATTGCTGGAGCCTTAACCTGCTTATAGAGGACACATACACGTTTTTCTCCTTCTCATTATATGGTGTGTAGCAGCAGCAGAGGCACTGATTAATGATTGGCTGCAAGTGCTGGGGTTTAGGTAAATGGTAAATGGTCACATTTTTATATAGCGCTTTTCCACCTTCAAGGCCCTCAAAGGTAGTTAGGATTCAGGTCAGCGAGAGTCCTTTTAGGTTTAAACCAGGTTGATTTCAGCATCGAAACTGGCAACCCAGATGAGAGACTCATGTGAGGCTCAATCTACTTTCTAAAACACCAAATTATAACAGAAACAATATGGCCACCATGTACAATGGTTTTGAAATTAAGAATACATCTGCTTTGTTATCAGTAAAAGATGTATTTGATTATTCCACATTCATACATTCTTATCTAGGAACACAGTTAGGTCATGTTTATAAAATATTAAATTAAATAAAAAATAAAACTAATCCAATTTGGCCATTTTTTACGTTTGTAATTTTACTTTCTGATTGGGACTTCACACAAGGAAATTTGATAACCTAGCAAGCGTTGAAGACTGGGATAAAAGACAGAAATTATGCTTAGACAAATAAAAATCTATGAAACCACACATTTGGTGAATTTAATTTTAACAGATCTAAAAAGATATTTCTTCTGTGTAAACAACCTAACTTTTGGATGAAATTCTGGCTCTCCCTAGTGCTCCACAAGCTGTAATTTTATACATATTTTTCAACTTTTCTTCACAAACTTCTGCTTGATCTTGTGTAATCATTGATAATTTACATTTATAACAGGTCCTTTCCCACTGCATTAAGTCAAAATGATAAAATCACTCAGAGCTGTCCTAGGCACTTTAAATCCCGTCTTGTGAACACACACGCAGGGAAACAGTGTCTCCTTTGTGTGCATTGTGCATTAAAGCAGGTGACGTGGATGGTCTCATAAGTCTACACATCTGTGACCTTGTTCTCTCTCCCTCTCTGCTTCCATTATGTATCCACAGATCAAAGACGCACACGCAGCCGGAGCAGGCAGGTCTGTGGGTGAGGATCCCCATTTGAAAGCAGCTGATAGAGGTAAGAGAATTTGAGCTTAAAGCACAACATGGCGCCGTCAAAACACACTCCAAATACTCAGAGCCATATGCTGTGTGTGAACACCAGCCATAGGATATGTATACAGTGTGCAGCTTGTTATGGCAATAATAGTAACCTGGAAATTGGACATGAAAACATTAAAATGGAAATGGAAGATATGTTTTACAAAGTTCAGCAAATTTGGTGAGTTTTTATAATAACTACATCTTAATTCATAATGAACAAAGAGATTATACAAGCTTAATAACTATTTGAAGTCTAAAATAAAAGCATGTTCTTTTCATTTTGATTGTGTTTACTGCCCTGAAAACTGTATAAGGCATGCTTGCATCTCCACAAACCTGACTCTTACTGCTAACTCTTTAATTTTGTAGTCATGAAGTCACAAATCATTCCTCCAAAATGATTTGTTCATTATGAAAATAAAAGAAGTCTTTGTTCATGCTTTATTAAGGCCAGGTATTATCATAATGTGGTCTCAAATTTGTGCTTTTACTTAATAAATTATAAAATAAAGACCTATTTAGGCTTCTAATAATAGTGTTGATTACGGATGTCTGTGGTGAAAACATTAGCATGTGGCTAGTTTGAACGTCTCTTTGGGCAAGTAACTAGCAAAGGCAATTTAGTCAGTTGTGGCTTATTTGTAGTGTAGTTGCACACGACTTAAGATACACATTAATCTTTTCAGTATTTCCCAAGGTAAGTTTCAGGAGATAATTTGTTCCAGTCTTTTGAACATGAGACTAAATTTGACTACATTTATTATTTTCACTTCAAAACACACATTTCCTCTCTCAGTTTTCTTCAAAATTGGGAGTCCATTTGAAGTCTAAATATTGTTTGTGGCCACTTCAAATGGCTCTGGTACAAAGTGTGAAAATTACCTTGGCTTGAGAAGGCCAGGGGCACTGGTTACATGATGTTCCCATTCAACGCGCTTCTTCCTGTGTGCTGGTTACCATGGCTTTGTGATACCAATGATGTTTTTTTTTTTTTTTTTTCAACACATCCCTTGAAAATCAGGTCTGTATAAATAGTGAATAAATATAACAGATACTTGTGGGTCAATGCTTTCACTTTCAATAGACCTGCTTTTTGATGGACATTTAGGGCGTTTTTATACCTTGGTTAACAGCATGCTTAATATTCAACAGGGCTGTGCAATAATCTGATTTTATTGAATTCAGATCCAATTATTTTTGATTGTCAATGATCAGCCTGGGTGTTTTTAAGTGAGAGGTCCAGGGTGAAATCCTCTGTCAGTAGAAACGGGTTGTGGAAGCAGAGTTCAGTCTATGGAATAAGAAATCTGAATGATATTTTACAGTTTGGAGATGAGATCAATATTGACAGCTACATTTATTTGCCTGACAAGTCTCCACTACCCCCGAAATAGTCAGATTTGTTTATTTCAGTGACAGATGTGAACGTTAATATTGAAGTTATATATGTGAATATGTGAAGTTCGTTCTTTTTTTCCTTGTAAACAAGCAGCCGTATATGTTTGTGTGAGTGTTACTGCCATCTGTCAGTCATGCCCATCTGAACTTGGGGAGATTCAGCATTGACCACACGCACATCTTGATACAGTTTTGGAGATGTGTGTATTCTGAATCCCAGGCAACATTTTATTTGTTTTACTTAAGAAAATACTTATAGAATTGAGTAGTTTGTTTCCATATGACCCATACAGTAGCTTTCTAAAACATATGGAAGATGCAGCTAATTGCATACTGGCATTTTTCTATGATAATGGGATATTGTAGCAGTGGTGGACTTCATCAGTAAAAAAATGAACGACTGTATTTCATTTACATTGTTTAACCTAAATGGCACATTAGCAATCATGCCACATATTAGTCAAATGGACATCTCCTCACCCTGGGCCCTGAACAGCACGAGTAATTGTTACGTTTGGATGACATTTTCAGGAACGGTGAGTAATAGGTCATGTGATTGTGGATTCGCTACCATTTTTGGAGCAGGGCCAAACTTACAAGACTTCAGCCACAAGACAACGGGTCAGTATGGGGACAATGCAGTGGTTTGAGGACAAACTTTTGGCGTCCATGGTTGTTCAAAGCATTAGTTATTTCTGTTTTGGTTGATACTAGACCCTCGTAATGTTATGGTGCGTTCAATTATCCAACTATCTTCCACTCGGATCTTAGATATGACATCATGTTCACATGTCAAGCATTTTATTATGTTTCATGAATAGACCGTATATATGAATGGACATAGCTAACGCGCTAACTGCCTTGTTCCGGTTTTGCGTGTCCGTCTTGAAGAAAAACGTGGATGCCAACCAGAAAGCTGTTATTGTTGTTGTTTTTTTATCTTCTAATAGCAACCCTAGAGACGTTTAGTAACACCCTTTTGAAACAAGTCTTTGTTCAGTATTGACCTCACCACAACACCAACCACCAAACCCACAGGCAGTGATACAGATGCAGTGAGGTTTTGCAGTAATACGAGTAGCTGAAATTGTCATTTAAATCACCAAAGCGTCCAAACACAGTGAAAACAGTTCGTACTACAAGTGGCACTGGTCTCCTGTGAGTTCTTCTGAGTTCCAAGTTCCGCCATCCGAGGAAAAGGGGCGTACGTGTCGCTAGGCAACGTCCACAGACCTCAGAGTCGGATAAATAATCGAACGCACCATAAGTTCATTTGTTTACCTGTTGCTATGGTGATGCTCACAGTGTAGTGATATACAACAGTGATTAACTGTTGTCGGAACTACCTATAATGCATGGAACTATAATGCATGATATAATTACTATTATTACATATAAGGGTTTTGTTTTCTGTGGGTAGCACATTCACCAAAACTTTGGATTGATTGGATTGAGATCATTTCTAACTGTCAGTGATATACTTAGCAGAGTTCAGACTTTTGTCAAAGAAATTTGACAGTTTATTGCGTTAAGTGGCACTGATTACAAATTGGTCTTTGTTTTAATAATATAAACTGATTGACTTTTTTTTGTCATATCGCAAAGCCCTACCTGAACTTTGAAAGTCACATTCAAATCAGTACTAGTATTTATTGTAGTAGTTTATTTGTCATTTATTTGCAGGGTAATTTATAATAATAATAATAAATTTTATTTATAAGCGCCTTTCTAACACCCAAGGTCACTTTGCTGGGCATACACACTACACAAACAACAGTAATACAATTCATTTGCAGTGTACTTGTACTTCTACTTTTTAATGCCGATAAAATCATCCAATTTAATCTAGTACTATAAGTGCGAGTGTGAGTGTCTGAAATTACACATACGCATTTGAATACCACGTTTCTGCCTCACTAACCTTTGCATACACAATAACAAGTGTTCTCCGAGAACCTAATTTCAATATCCTTGCTTTTGTGGCAAGCAGCGAAAATGAAAATCACCATAAAATTAGCCTTCTTTTCCCCCCAAAATTTTTCTCAAATGGAAGTGTCCTGGCACTGCAATAAACCCGGGATCTATTGTTTGGGAATAACAAAACAGATTATCCATGCATAGAGAGGCTTGTTTACCATAGCTTTTGTCGATTTCGGCCATATTTCCGCTCGCGTACATCTGAGAAAGTGTGTGTGCGCGAGTGCGTCTGATGTTTTTCTTTCAAGGTGATGCGGCTAGTTTACTCCCTGTTCACGCTAGCCCCATTTTATACCTCTACAGCTGCTGCTAACTGACAACCCCCAATATTTACGGCTGGCATAAAAGCGTATGTGTGCATTCCCCGTCACCCTACAGCAGTCAGAATTTACGATACTCTTGACGGAGGTGGAAAAAAAAAAAGAGACGCCTTCAATTTGTATAGGAGTTTAGGGGCTGTTTGCTAGGCGTGCTCCCCATAGATTTTGCAGTGAATACATGTGCTTGCCTCTTTCATAGTGTGCGCGTTTTGCCTTGAAACACCAGCAACAGATAACAGATGGCTCCCCTGCATTAGAAGTGTTTTATTTCCCCGTGGATGCCAGATATGTCAAAAATAAGCATGTGCAACATTAGTCATTTGGAATATTCATGCCCCTGCTATCCGCCATTTTTTCTCTCTTATTTTCCCAGCCAAAATACAGTACGACCAGCCTAATTCTCCGGCAGAGGAGAGGGGAGGAGAGGGGAGGGGGGCGCCCGTGGCTGAGCGGTTGCGGGCGAAAGGGTGAGACCTAAATGTGAAGCTAATTATTATTTATTTTGCGCGTTCCTCCTGGTAGCGTCTTCGTCATGCCAGATTTGTAATTAAAAAGGGGATCCAGTGTGTCGACGCCTCCCAGCCACATTAGACAAAGTGTGGAGGTTGTCCATATGCTGCCTGGATACACACGTGTAGTGCCGCTGCATATTCATTTTCATCCATAGTCATGTAGTATTATCTTCGAGACATACAGAACTTAGCATAGCATTGTAACGGATGGAGTACTCTATAATACGTGACAGAATTTGCGGAGAAATTTACATACTCATTTACATAATTGATACTTTGCAGATGATGTCTACAACATTCCTTGGGGGTGTGATGGTAACTATAGGCACTGCTCTGTCTGAGGCTTTATTTAGATTGACCAGACTTTCCAAATTCAAAACTGGGACACACAAATTGCCAATTCATAATGAAACGTACTGTATTTTTCGGCCTATAACACACACCGGATTATAAAGCGCAGTATCAATAATGGTGAATTCTTTTGTCTATTTTCATAGATAAGGTACAACGGATTATAAGGCACATCCCTTAGCGCAGGCATCTATGATCAATTGGCAGATCGTGGTGTAACTCACCCAGCATTGCCTCCCTGTCTTGGTGAATGTGTATTATGAATGTGAATACTTTAAAAAAAAAAATAAGTATTTTTTTTTTTATTTCCTACGAGGACTCAAATATACACTGAGTAATAATGTGTTTAATGCAGCTTTGTGCACATTTGTTTACATTTTATAGAAACAAAAGTTAAAACCACAGAACAAATTTGC